GGGCAGTATACTGAAAATGCTCCCGGCCTATCGCAAACCGAAGGTATTGACGGTGGAAAGGGTGGATTGAAAGATGAAAATAGGCGTCCTGAAGATCCAGGGTAGCCATCCACACATCTTGGCGGAGCAACGGCATGATTTGCTGAAGTGATGTCATGCGGAAACGTCTGTACGCCACATAGAGGTTTAGGCCACGGAGATCCAGGATGGGCCGCAACCCTCCGTCCCGTTTTGGGACAGTAAAATATCGGGAGTAAAACCCCTTCCCTTGGAGGTGTAGGGGCACAGGTTCTATAGCCCCTTTCTGCAGAAGGAGGGAAACCTCCCGAAGGAGGGGTTGGGAGGGGGGTGTACGGACGAAGACTGGTATTTCGGGGTTCTGCTGGAATTGAATCCTGTATCCATTGGTCAAGATGGAGAGGACCCATTGGTCGGAGGTAATAGTACGCCATACATGGAGGAATGGAGAGAGACGGGTCAAAACAAGGCTGGGAGCTGACTCGGGGATAAGGAAGTCAAAAACCCTGCTTGGAGGGTTGTTTAGGTTGTTTGGCACGAGGTTGTTGCTGAGTCGTGCCGAATCTTGGCTTTTGGTAGTTCTGCCTCTGGGATCCGGAGTAATTCCTAGGGCGCCATCTAGGTTCTGGAGATTGGTGCGTCTGATTTCGCCGTTGCCACGGCCTTGGCCATGTGCGGGACCGCTGTTGCTGTCTATTTGAAGAAGACACTCCCAGAGCCCTGGAAGCCTTAATGCTCTTGTCAAGCTCTTGGAGAAAATAAAATAGAGGATGATCCTAAGAAACAAGAAATAAGGTAAAGGCCCGAAGGCAGTAACAGCTATCCGGTCAGGAGGAAAGGCAAGAAGGTCCTTTCAACGCGGCGGTAGAGAGAGAACTGGCGGGATCTCCGCGCCCGTCCCCTCTGAGCATGCGCGCTGGGGTTCCTGCGCATGCTCAGTGGGACTCGCGCGAAAATCCTTTGAAACATAGCTTGCTACAGCACCGGTCGGGTCAGCGCAGGCGCACTAAACCCATTGGTGTGAAGCACAGAGACCACGAAGAAGATCTGAAGGTAACAAACACAAGCCAAGTATGAGGTGTACTGTAATGAGTAATAACCAAGGGTCAGAGCCATGGAGGGATCTTCTACAGTGTGTGATCTCAACAAGTGCATGGAAGAGATGGGCTGTTGATCCCATCTAGCTGTACAATAGCAGTATTTCATAATCATCCTATTTATTAGTCCTCACTGCATAAATAAAAATGTAATTTCAGAACTCAGGTGGAGAGGTACTGTTCATTGTACAGCTATGCTACCTGCTGTGCAGTTTAGATAGAATTACTTTTTGTGACAAACCTATCTGCAACCATTATTCAAGAAATGTTTTTGTGTAGCTTTGGTGGAGAATCAGAAGTACAGTACCCTTTAAAACAGATAGATCAAGATGGGGAGCCGTGTTTGTCTGAAGCAGCAGAAATGAACAAGAGTCCAGTAGCACCATAAAGACTAACAACATTTGTGACAGAGTATGAACTTTTATGAATCACTGCTCACTTCTTCAGATACAGTGAGTAGTAACTCACAAAACCTCATACCCTGCAAAAAAAAATTGTTAGTCTTTAAGGTGCTACTGGGCTCTTGCTCTTTTCTACTGCTTTAAGATAGATGTGAGCACTGAGAAGCCTTAGAACTAATGAAGAGTCCCATGAAAACTATATGTAAGGGTGGACAGTTAAGTTTCTGGAGCTAATCCCCCCCCCCCCAAGAGCCTTGGGAGCTACCCATCACAAAATAACAGTTTGATGGGTGGAGCCTGCCACAGCATGGCAGTATATACAAAAATGGTAGCATTTCAGAGCAGGTCTGCAGTGCTTATCTATGGAAACCCTTCCTCTACTGTTTTCTTAAAGCACCCCTTTCCCCTGCCCGACTGTAACCTGCCTGATGTCAGTAGTTGCTGGAACTACTAAGTCTGCAGGAATCTCTTCAATCCATTATACTGCACTATTACCACATGGTAACAGGTGCATATAAGATCACCTAAAACAGGCACAAATTGTAAGCAGCCAAGTTGAAAGCATGTAATTAAACTTTGAACAGGTAGAAAAACCACCCACTTGTGCTATTAAAATGTGATTCTTAAATAAGCAGTAGTCAAGCACAATATATGACTGGTATGCATCATTTGGCTTGATGGATCAAAAGTTGTACAGGCCCAGTATACAAAGGACTGTGTCAGTAGCAAGGTAAGAGCCACCACATGGAGGTCTATTGTAGTAACAATGATACCAGATACTTCTCTCACACATTTCAACATAACTTTCATAGATTTTTGATATTGATATCTTTCAAAGAAATTTTACCATTTTATACATGAATTTTACTAGCAAACATTTACTACATAAGATTAACTGCAAAATATCATACTCAAAAATATACTTGCAGTATTCCCACCCCCTTTTAAACATATTTTAGGAATGTGCTTAAAGAACTGGCTTGTATTAAACTCAGACAGTGATTGTTCAGAATTTATTTCAGTAACAGAAAGATTTACAATCGAACTACAGGAAAGCAATTTCAACAACAGATTTCCTACCATAAACTATAAGGTAACATCTTGATCTTTATATTAACTATGTATTTATACACCTTAGGATAAAGGAGAGCCAAATTAAAGATGTTTATAAAATACCCCAGCCTACACATATGGCTTTGTCCATATCCTATTCAATACATCCTTAAAACTATATTCATTTTATTTTTCAATAGCACCTATTTATAGAAAGATGCATTTTGTAGTTTAATGAAGCACAGCACACTTCATTAAGGCAAACATTTAATTAACAGACCTAAAATGCAAGTTAGAGTACTGTACTCCTGCAGCAATTCACTGCATTAACATTATACAATACTTAGAAAGAAAAGCTAAAGGCTATATCCTATCAGGGATAAAACTCCCAGTGAAGCCAGTAGCTTTGCCTATGCTGCAACAACATTTGGGCTATGATAAAACTGTTTATCATCAGCTTGGCAGTTATTCACCCAAATAACATTAATACTGAATATAATTTTTTTTAGATTTTTAAAAAAATTTAGGCAAAATATAGAAGACATCAACATCTCTTCTGTTGTGGGGTAAACTACTACTATTTTGGTTTCAGTAGTTTCATATTCTTTAGGTTGGTAAAAGCAATAAATTTCTATAAAGCAGATCATCTATTTGCATGACTAATTTAAGAATCACCACTGATAAGTGAATATTCTAATACTTTTGAGTATGCCAAGCACTCAAGAAAATAAGGTCTTCCACATAACAGTAGAAGATTGCTAAATACCAGATTGCCTTCCTCCTCTAGAAACCAATACTTATATAGAAAAGTCATTCATCAGTAAACAGGACAAGCACTGAGGAAAGTCACATTGGTTCCATGTTCAAGTGTATGTCAACTCCTGCAGATGTCCAAATACTGTGATATTGGAGAAGGCTTTCATTACAAAAACATTTACTGCCTCTAAATAACAGCCATATATACATACCCAGCAGTTTCATGAAGTCAAACAGTTCCTGGACTGTACCACTGCAATTGGAAAAGTTGCATGTTTCATTCCTCCTCCATTCACCCCCATCCCATGTCATACTTAGGAAGGTAGCATGCTAAGACTGCTAGATCAAAACCCTGACAGCCTCATTGTGTGTGTGCATAGCAATGAAAAAAAATACATACAAGAGAGCAGAAACTCGAGTCCCACATCTGAAGCAGTACAGAATGGGAGTCAACTGCTTCTGCCGATATGTCAGAGTGGTCTCAATTTAGAAGGCTACACAAACCCTAGCAAAATTCAAGGATGTGATTCACAAAGCAGGACAAAACTCATAGAGGAGTTAGAAGTGCCAATCTGGGGGTAAGATGAAGTCCTCAGGAGCATCTTAGCCCCAGTTGTTACTCTCACTAATTAAAAACTAGCAATAGCCCCCAGTGTGATTGATTGTATGCTTAAGAATAGGAAATAAAATCATATGCATCAAGAAAACATGTAAAGAAAGAAAAAACCCTCCATGAACAATAACTGCAACATCACTAAGGTAATTAGATCTGTAACAGCTGTGCAATGTTAAGGTGATAAAATGTGACCATGATGCTGGCCTACAAAGCAGGATGTCCTCCCCTTGCCACACATATATCGAAAATTCATATTGCCAAATCTGCAACACTGTTTCAGATATCATATTACCAGGAAAATTTTGAAGCCCACTTTATCCAAGCTACTAAGGGAAGGAGTAACACCAGAAGAATCTGATGGCATACATCTTGGCAAGTTACAAGAAACAGAATACTTCTGTCTGACATTTGCTGTTAGTTTTTGTTTGGGATGGGTGGGGGAATACAGAGTAATTTAAGACAAATTGCTTGTTCATTGATAATTCATAAAACACATAGCTAACTTCATAGTACACCAACTATGTACTATGTACACCAGAAAACCTTTGTGGATTGAAATGCTGCAACACAATAAGAATTCAAATGGGCTTAGGTCCTTCAGTAAATATCTGCCCTTTCCATCTCTACTGATGGAAGGTATTCGGTCAACAGAACAAGACTTCCTTGACTCCCCCTTCCATTGAGACCAAAATGATCCTGCAAATGGTGGTCCTAGGAACAACATGACAAGGCCAATAATCTGCAGGTAGGGGGCAGGACCAATGAAAGCTGAGGATCCAATCTACAATAAGAGATTTCAACATACTAAATTTCACCATTATTTTTTGCCACAAATACTGTATTTTATCTTAAGGGCAGTTACATGGGAATCTTCTCTCCAGAGATTAGATACTGCTTTTAAGCTCAGCACACAGTAGGAAATGACACTGAATTACACTGCTGCAAAGGGATACGTGAAGACTGGAAGTCTTCTGTTGCACATGCAATAATATTCGTTAAACTTGACCTTTGAGTTAATCCTAATTAAGAATACTTATTCTACTACTGCATGCTTATTGGTTTTACATACTGCATGTGTGATGTAGATGTCAATTTAACAAGCAGTAATAAAATAGGTCTTGTACGTTATCAGATTGTTCTCATTTAAACCATTCATTAAAACCAGAGGTTTTCCATTATCAATGGACAATTTTAAATTTGGTGCAACCAAGCATGGAAAAGTATGCTTAATTATATTCCAAAACATATTTTCCCTGCCTTACATCTATACCATGGCCAATGAAGTTTGGAAAGAGCATTATTCCTCATAAAGTTATGCTATCTAGTCATTGCTGTTGGTACATTTACAATAGAGTGAACACTGTAGGCACAGAAATGCTTCATAACTGGCTGCATGAAAAGTAACAATCTACTACAGATGATGCTGGTGCATTTAAAGAGAAGGCCTCTCAAGACGTTTCAATCCACTGGAGGTAGATGCTTATCTATGAACTGCTTTGCATCCGTCATTTCCTATTCAAGAATAAAAAACAATTTACGGTAAAGTTGCAGGAATAAATATAACAGAAAGCAGAGCATGCAGTTTTGCAATTTACACTGTAATTTTCACTCATTTAACTACCCCCCCCTAAAGTCCTGTAAAACATCCTAATTTTGGTATAGTAAGACATGCAATGTCCTGACCTGGATACCTTGGGCTAGCCTGATCTTGTCAGATCTCAGAAGGTAAGCAGGGTCAGCCCTGGTTAGTATTTGTATGGGAGACCACCAAGTAATACCAGGGTTGTGACAAAGAGGCAGGCAATGGCACACCGCCTCTGAAAATTTCTTGCCTTGAAAGCCCTATGGCGAAGCCATAAGTCAACAGCAACTTGATGGCACTTGCCACCACAAGACATGCAGTCAACCTATAATAATAGCTTGATGCTACAAAATTAGCAAAATTCCTCGCAAAATTCCTGTGCCTCTCACCCCCCCACACACACACAGAGGAGAAGAATAACAAAGTTGCAGAGGCCAACAGCAAGCTTCTCCCCGTTCCACACTAGCATTACTTGGCCAATCACCTAATCTAATCTAATCTAAGTGCTTGGTCCACAAATTAACATCTGTATTGGCTATCATGTTTACAAAGAAAATAAAACCTGGTCTAGATCAAGTGGGAGATTCTTGCAAGGGCCAAGGCCACTCACTGGTTAGTGCCAAAGTTCTGCTTCTGAGGTCATGGAATGATTTAAAATGCCTCTGGTTGATGTTCCAGTGGCAGCTCATCACTTTAAACCACTTATTCTATCAGAATTGGATGGCTTTCTGAGACCTTGTGGTAAAAGGATAGAGTTAACTCTGACAACCAACTTTGCTCAAAATATCTATGGCCGAAGCATGCTTTTTGGAGCAATCTCCAGCTAATATTCTATCCTCAGCAAAGATGAATATCTCAGAAGGTCTAAAGGCATAGAGACCTAACTCTCAGCCAATTCTTGCAGATTTTTCGCTGAATATGATCCAGTGTTCAGCTAGAGTGATGGCCTCAAATGTAACAGCATGGAAGAATACCTGGGTTCTCACGCCTACAAAGCTTTCAAAGGCTCAAAACACTTTGGAGGTTGCCCAGTTTTTAGCTGGTGAGCCACACTGAGAGCGACAGCCAAGAAACAGGACAAAAGGAAAACGACTGTGTAGTATGCAGGATCTCTCTTTATTGCAAAGACATTTTTGACCATGAGGGGGTTAACTGACAGTATCCCAGCATCCCAACTGAAGGAAAATAAAGGAGGCACATACAGAGAATTTATATCAGAATCCCTTTGCTACTTTCAACCCACCTTGCACTGGTTTCTATGTAGGCATACAGTATGCCACCCAATAGAATCATAGAATCACAGAGTTGGAAAGGGCCATACAGGCCATCTAGTGCAACCCCTTGTTCAATGCAGGATATGCCTAGAACATCCCTGACAAGTGTTTGTCCAGCCACTGCTTAAAGACTGTCAGTCAGGGGGAGCTCACCACCTCCTTAGGTAGCTGATTCCACTGTTGCACAACTCATAATCTAAAAAAAGTTTTTCCTAATATTCAACCGGTACCTTCCCACCCTTAATTTAAACCCATTATTGCAAGTCCTATCCTCTGCTACTAGTAGGAACAGCTCACTGCCCGCCTCTAAGTGACAGCCCTTCAAATACTTAAAGAGAGCAATCATGTCCCTCCTGAACCTCCTCTTCTCCAGACTAAACATTCCCAAGTCCTCAAAGGACTTGGTATTCAGGTCCCCTATCATCCTTGTTACTCTCCTCTGCACGCATTCCATTCTGTCCACATCCTTTTTGAAGTCAGGCCTCCAGAACTGCACACAATACTCCAGGTGCGGCCTGACCAATAGAGTGTACAGTAGGACTATCACATCTTGCGATTTGGATTTTATGCCTCTGTTGATACACCCCAAGATCACATTAGCCTTCTTTGTCGCCAAATCACACTGGCTTCTCATATTTAACTTACAGTCCACCCGTACCCCAAGATCTTGTTCACACACACCGATACCAAGAAGTGTATCCCCCATCCAGTATGCATGTTCCTCATTTTTGTTACCCAGATGTAGAACTCTGCACTTATCCTTGTTAAATTGTATCTTGTTCACATCCGCCCACTTTTCCAGCATGTTCAAATCTCATTGAATTCTATCTCTGTCTTCTGGTGTATTTGTTGCTCCTCCAAATTGGGTATTTGCAAATATAATTAGCCCCTCCACACCCTCATCCAGATCATTGATAAAAATATTGAAAAGTACCAGGCACAGAACCGAGCCCTGTGGCACCCCACTGAACACCTCCCTCCATTCAGATGAAATGCCATTGACAACTACTCTCTGAGTGCAGTTCTCCAACCACTTCCCTATCCACCTAACTATCCTAGAGTCCAGTCCACAGTCCTTTAGTTTACTCATCACATCATCACGGGGAACCCTGTCAAAAGCTTTAATGAAATGCAGGTAAACAACATCAACAGCATTCCCTCATTGTTCGATCAAATAAGAAAAGGAGGTTGGTCTGGCAGGACCTGTTGGGGACAAATCCGTGCTGACTTCCCAGATCACCAAGTTGTCCTTTAGATGCTCGCAGATCAATCCCCTTAAAATCTGCTCCACTATCTTCCCTGGGACAGAGGTTAGGCTGACTGGCCTGTAGTTTCCTGGGTCATCCCCTCCTCCCTTTTTTGAAAATTGGGATAACATCTGCCCTTCTCCACTGATTGCAAAACAAAAACATACATCTATAGGAACACCCAAGAAGGCTATTGTTTGTGCCTCATGTAAGAAAACTAAATTAAGCATAGTTGTGAAATCATTACCTCAATACATGAGCTATGCATCATGCCTGAATAAGTCTTGAAAGTTATGTTGCCCGGATTTAACATGGTCTTTAGCCTTTCAGAGGTAAGAGATCCAAACATCAGTGGAACCAAAGGATCACAGTCACCATGGCACTGGAGAATGGGAATATCTTTGTTGACAGCATTAATGGAACCCTAACAAAAAGGTACAAAATGTTAGTATATTATAGAGGAAAAGCAAGATCTCTCACGTAATTAAAATGACAAGTATATTGTGTGATAAAAAATATAAAGATATATCCACACTTGCTTTGGGATATTCACTACACTTATAGTCAGCTTTAGAAAATTCACAGGATCATACTGTATGAAGTATGGACAAGGCATAGCATATTTTATTGCAAATAGAATGAATTAATTATCATCTGTGAGCTGGTACAAAAATCAGTTGCCAAAGCTATGCATTTAAATACAGTTGCTTTATTTTATAACTTCAAAATCGCTTAACAAAGAACAGTAAATTCATTAATTATCTTGGTAATTTCTGACTGCTTCATAATAATTTTTATTGTGTTTTACTCCTACTTCTTCCAAGGAGCTCAAGGCAACATAAAAGCCTCCTCTTCCTTCACTGTACCCTCACAATCATTCTGAGGGTATTTATTTTACCCTGACAATAACTCTATGAGTAGACTAAACTGAAAGAGATGAAGAAAGGCTGCCCAAGATCACACAGTGAGCTTGGTGGCAGAGTAAGGGACTCAAACTCAATTTTTCCATCCAAGTTCAAAAGTCTATTGGCTATGTTATAATAACTCTCTTTGGAACTTGGCAGAAATATTTATTTGAATGATGTATATGCCACGCTTCTAACCAAAGAGGTTCTTGAGGATGCTACAGACCAGATATAGTCCTGGATTGAAGGAAGTAACCTTTTCTATGTTCATAAACATGCTAAGATTTTATGATCACTCTAAAATCTTCACTTGTACATCAGTAGTAGTTTATTATTTAAATAGAAAATTATTATCTCTGGTCATCTCTGCACGCCTAGTCATGCCTCACTACACTGAATCATTGGATGAAGCAAACAAGGCAAGAGTTTCTAAGTAATACTGATGTTACATTTTAGAAGAGTTTCACAAAAGAAGTTCTTTTCTTTTTTTTAACAAACATTTATTTGTGAACATTTTAAAGCTTACAATTTGCTGCTACACAAAATTATACATTGGTCTGATTACTTAAAATGTGGGAGGGGACAAAGAAGTCAGGAGAAAGACAGTATTTGTGGCATCAGTAAAAGACTGATAAAAAAGAAGTTCTTAAAGGGCTTTAAAAATAAATCAAAACCTAAAACTAAGTAGTCCACAATACCCCTGTATGTTGAAACAAGGACTGCCTAACCACAGTTACTGTATTGTATAAAATACTGACAAAGCACCTTAATTGTGCTGTGTGAAAGATCCTAAAGACAAACCCAAATACTATTTTAACAGACAATTCTTGTTTAGAGTTAACTCATGAATGCATGGAATGCTGTTATCTGTTTCTACACACACTTTGAAATGGTGAAAGACATGGATAAGGGACCCAAAAGCAGGTTGCTTACCAGTAACTGGTGATCTTCGAGTGGTCATCTGTGCATTCACACCCATGGGGATTCAGTGCGCATGCGCTGGATCGATCGGTGCTGTAGCAAGCTCTATTTTAACGGATTTTCCGCGCCCAGTCCCTCTGGGCATGCACATGAACCCCACCGCGCATGCCCAGAGGGGTGGGCGCGGACATCCCACCAGTTCCTTCAAAGTACCGCCACAAATCAACCCCTATTAAAAAGTAGAAGCTGACAGCAGCGGGGAAGGAGGGTGGGTGGTGTGAATGCACAGATGACCACTCGAAGACCACCAGTTACTGGTAAGCAATCTGCTTATCTTTGACGTGGTCTCTGTGCTTCACACCCATGGGAGATTAGCGAGCAGTAGTCTACCTGGGGGTGGGTGCTGGCAGGTCTTTTACTGCATAGCCGAATGTGACATCCCATGTTGGTAGCAGTGTTCGTACGGACGTCTAGGGCGTAGTGCCTGATGAAGGTGTTAGGCGTGGCCCATGTAGCGGCTTTGCAAATGTCCGGCAGTGGCACTCCCTGGAGGAAGGCAGTGGAAGTCGTGACAGCCCTGGTGGAATGAGCCCTGATAGGGCCAGGTAATGGCTGTTTGGCGAGTAGGTAACAGAGTTGGATGAGACCTACAATCCACTTTGATAGGCGCTAAGCCGTGATGCGACTGCCTAGCCGTGCCGAAGCGTACGAGACGAATAGTTGTGGGTCTCGTCTGGTTGGATGTGTTCTTTGCAGATAGAACAAGAGAGCTCGCTTGACATCTAGAGTGTGCAGTAATCTGTCCTCCGCTGACGTAGGGTTTGGGAAGAAGTCTGGGAGGAAGACCTCAGCCTGCAGGTGGAACTCCGACACCACCTTTGGCAGGAAGGAAATGTCTAAGCGTACTTCATCTGGCAAAAATGACAGGTAAGGTGTGTCGTGTCGGAAAGCCAATATTTCTCCCACTCGCCTAGCCGAGGTGATGGCAATTAAAAAGGCCGTTTTCCAAGCCAGGAGTTTGAGCTTGCATGTTGCGAGTGGCTCGAAGGGCTTCCTCGTCAGCTGGCGTAGAACTAGAGGAAGGTCCCCCATGGAGTGACTGGAGTTTTGACAGGAGGGTAAAGGTGAAGCAAACCTTTTAAGAACTGTTTCGAAATTGGATGTGAAAACAAAGTACATCCTTCAACTGGAACATGGTAGGCCGAAAGAGCGGCCAAATAAACTTTCAACGAAGAGTGGGAAAGTCCCGAGTCAGCTAAGGAGAGGAGGAAACTAAAAACTCTGTCGAGGCCAGCTGAGGTGGCTCGAGTGGCGTCCTCACCGAGAAAAGAACAGAACTTCTTCCATTTATAAGTATAGGACTTCCAAGTAGTGGGTTTCCTTGAATTCAGGAGGACGTTAACTACACGGGAGGAGAAGCCTGTGACGTTACCTGCCATGCCATCAGTTTCAACTGTGGTATGTTGTAATGGAAGACGGGGGAGTCTGAAAGCAGGAGGAGGTCCGGGGCCAGGGGGAACTGATGGTATATTCCCTGTGAAAGCTTGAGGACCGTTGAAAACCAACGCTGTCTTGGCCACCATGGTGTTATTAGGATACAGTCCGCAGCTTCCCTGAGAATCTTGCGTACCACTCTCGGAAGCAGAGGTAAGGGGGGGGGAACAGGTAATGGAGCCCTGATGACCAAGGGTAGAGGAGGCAGTCTCCCAGAGATTGTGGGTCTTTGCCTCCTCGACTGCAGAAGAGATGACATTTTTTGTTGGTTCTGGTCACAAAGACATCGACTAGGGGAGTCCCCCCCTTGTGGGAGGAGGTATTTTGGATTCATCCCCCACTCGTGTAGGCTGAGTCCGGCTCGACTTAGATGGTCTGCCTGCACGTTCATGTGGCCTGGGATGTGAGTGGCCACGAGAAATATGTCGTTTTCGATGCACAACTCCCACAACTGGATGGCCAGGTTGCATAGGCGTTGGGACATCGTGCCTCCTTGCCTGTTGATATACGATAGCGCTGTGGTGTTGTCCGTCAGGACCGTGACACATTTTCCCTTGAGTAAGGGGAGGAAGGAGGTGACAATGTGTCGTATGGCTAGGAGTTCAAGGAGGTTTATGTGTTTTTTCCTCGTCTGCACATCCCATTTGTCTC